AGAGAGAGAGAGAGAGAGAGAGAGAGAGAGAGAGAGAGAGAGAGAGAAGAAGCCTTAAAAAATACACATTTTGGAATTTTGGAGACATGACAAGGCAAAAGAAAAGGCTTACCAGCTCTTCCCTCAGCCACTCCAGGGTCTGCCCAAGGTCTGTAGCTGGGTTTCCTGGCATTTCCATCTCAGTGTCCTTTAGAGTCCTTAGCAATGACGTGGTTACAGGCCCCGGGGGACCTTTGAACTGTATTAGTCACCAGCTTCCTTCAGGCTGGCAGCTAAGTCCCCAAGGATGGAATTAATGAGAGCAGGACGTGGCTCACGTTGAAAGACGTAGTTTTTGATTTTTTTTTAAAGCTTCAGTGCTTTGAACAAAACAAGGAAGAAGGGAAGAAACCAGGAACCAGGGGTACAGATATCTGGATGCAAGATAGTTCCAGAAGGTCAGAGAATCTGATGACGACAGTCATGCCAGGGTTGCAAGGCTAAGTGAGGCCAGTGACAGTCAACAGGCACAGCCACGTCTCCTGGGGTTTCTTTATGCTTCCTATATAGAGCGGGCCGTCCACATATTCTCTGGGGCCGATACTCCTTCTGTGATCCCAGTCTCATATCCCTCCCTTTCTCACCTGTGGAGTCTCAGTGAAGGAAATTCTGACTTTCCATAACTCTTAGCTTCTGGATGCTCTTGTGAATGGCTCCCCACAGGGAAATCAAAGCAGGAATGTGCTCTTACACATGAAGAACATCTTTATTGTCATAAACACTGGGAAACGTTACTGCTGTTTCCTCTTCACTCTTGTCTTTTGTCACCTCCATCTGTCTGGAATGTGACTATGATCCCTGGAGCTTCAGTAGCCATCTAGCCACAGTAAGATGACAGCCAACAAAAGGAGAGGTTGGAAACCACGATATCACCAAGTTAGCGACACCATCTGTATGTGAGTGAGAGAGTGGAAGCCATTTGAGCTGGACTCTGCAGCTTGCAAGCAAATCCAGTCCTGTCTGATTCCCCATTTATTTCTCACAGCACACTGAGAGAGGATATTCCTTCATTATCCCTTCCAATAAACACTTATTGAATGTCTACTGTGTGCCAAGGTCTGCCCCAGGCACAGCAGAAGCTCCAAACCAGAGCGAGAATGCCCTTGTTTTGCTCGAGTTGATATCCTACCAAATGGAAGCTAACAAAACCCAAACTCACATCACAGTGAGAATAAATGGGATGTATTCTTGTGTAGGGTTTTCAAAACCACACTCTGTCCACACGAGTGAGAAATTCCAAGCCAAGAGATACACAGCCATTCTAGATACAGAACCCAGATACAGATCAAATGGGAAGAGGCAAAATAAATTCCTTCTGTGTTCTCGGCTCAGGCCATTACAGCACATCCTTGGATATATATGCTCCTTCAGATCCACTCAGGACCCACAGTGACAACACACATGAGGAAACTGCCCAGTGTAAGTGAGAGTCAGCAGACACCAACCACAATGGGATAGAACCTGTCTTCCTCCAAGAATTTCAGTAGTATGAAGCCTGACTTGGTGCCACACGTCTTCAGTCCCAGAACTCAGGAGGCTGAGGTAAGTGGATTTCTGTGAGTTAGAGGCTAGCCTGGTCTACAGAGTGAGACCCTGTCTAAAAAAAATATTAGGAAAATGTAAACATAAAAGAAAATTGAAAACAAAATAACACTATATTAACAAACGAGATTCAAAATAGAACCTGAGAAATTTTGCAATCCAAAGTAAACAAAACAAAAGAGCCAGGTAAATGTCTATAAGTCAAGGAGAAGAGAGAGTCCTATTTTGGCTTCAGACAACAGGGCAAGGACAGTGTGTGTAGAGGACACTGGGGATGCTGGACTCTGCAGAGGAGAGTGTGGTTAAAAATTCTGTCAAGCAGTTGGTACTTGGTGGATGGTGCATGACCCATGGTTTCAATGCAGCGGGAACTGAGGAGGTCTAGCAAACACTGAGGGGGTTCCAGTGGCTTGGGGTGGACCTGGGTTCCTTCTACGGGTGAGGTCTACAAGGCACATAAAAGGGCCTTATGCAGGCTGGAGCCTGGGCCCTGCTTCCAGCTTTGCAGCAGGAAGTTCCTAAAGCAGGTTGTTAGGAGAATCATGTTTCTTTCACTCTGGGGTTTACGTCCTAAGATGCATTTGGATGACAGCACACAGACACAATTTGCTGTGCAAATTCTATTCTGGCTCCAGTGTCATGTGTTTGAACCAAAGTGCTCTGAAAAAAATAGCAGCTGACCACATCTGCCAGGCTTTTAAACATGAGGACCAGAAGTGATTCTTCCCAGACTTTGTACCACATAGGCCGGAAATGGACAACTTCCAGGAACATGGATGCTTCAGTCGACCACTGCCACCTGCAGAGTGGACAGGAGATCTTTGGCTCGTGGCGGCTGATGTTCATAGAGCTGTTTGGGGGTGGTGACCACGTGAGCCAATCAGATCTGATTTCATTTTGAATTAGGCACAGCCACGAGAGCACTGAGTAACAAACATCTCTAAAACACCATGCTTTTACTTAACAACCACACGAATCTGTTTTTTGTTGCTATTACAAAAACCAGAGATAATGGACTTAAAATGGTTTATTTTCACTCAGTTGTGAAAGTTTGGGTTTGTGGTCGGCTGTCCCTGTTACCTGGAGCTGTGGTGAGGCAGCACACCATGTCAGGGTGTGTGGGGTGTGTGTGTTTGTGTGTGTGTGCGCATGCGCACTCGTGTGCACGTGCACGCATGTGTGAGTGCGCTGGTTCATCTTGTGACAGCCATGTAGGGGAAGGCATGCAAAAGAGCAGCAGGGTCCTAATACTCCCTTCACATGACTGGAAAGCTGTCCTCTAGGCCTCAAATGCTCAAGGTTCGCCTGCCTCCTGATAGGTCTTTATCCATTGGTCTTTCGAGGGTGCTTATCTACATCTCAGCAATCACCTGTTCTCATACAGAAGTTAGTGGATCGGTGGGATGATGGTTTGCTGCCAGCCACACACCTGAGGGTCTGAGGCTGCTCCACAGGGCTCCTGCCATCCTCCTGCCTTTCTAGACATGGTCTCTTGGCAGTGAAAAGGTAGGATTTTAAAAAAGATCTGGGGATTTAGCTCAGTGAATAGAATGCTTGCCTAGCAGAAACAAAGTCCTGGGTTCAATCTCCCAGCATGGCAAATAACTAGACATGGTAGCACACATCTGGAATCCAGCAACTGGAATGTAGAGACAGGAAGATCAGAGGTTTCAGGTCATTCTTGGCTACATAGTGAGTTTGAGGCCAGTTTAGGCTACTTGAGACTGTGTCTGAAAATGAAAACAAAACAAACTAAAGGAGCAGCAGGACCACAGGAAGTGGCCTGAATGATGTTCTACTCTAGGCCCTTGTTAAGCATAGACAGCTTTGTTCCATCTTTAAAACCTTCAGAGATGGCAGAGCCCAAACTTTGTGCCAAGGCACCCCCAAGTACTGCAGAAAACTCAGAGATAGTACATATCAGTTAAAAGCTTGGGAGAGATGCAATATCATCTATCAGACACTCTGCAGACAGCTCTTATTAAAGCACTTGAACCTCACTTCGTAATAAATCGCTGTTGAGCACTTCCATGGGTCTGACTCGTGAGTTGGTCTCTAGCATGACAAGACTGTGGAAAACAGAGAAGGTATGGGAACCTCTGACTACATGCTAGGCACCATTATTGTTTACACTTTTAAAGTTTATTATTTTATTTCATGTGTATGGGATGTATGTCTGTCTATACAGGTCTATGGACTATGTGCAAGAAGTACCCACTAAGGCCAGAAGATGGCGTGAGATCATTTGGAACTAGAATTGTAGATGGTTGTGAGGCCTGGTGTAGGTGCTGGGAACTGAACTCATCTCCTTTGGAAGAGCAGCTAGTGCTTTTAATCACTGAGCCGTTTCTCCAGCCCCTGTTATTTGTATTTCAATATATATATATATATATATATATATTATATATATTATATATATAATATATATATGTGTAATGCATATGCTCTATCCTATATTTTAATATAGTGTAATACTTTTGCAATATATTACAGATATATTGGTCATTGACCACTTTCAACATAGGAAATTGCAACTCAGAGAGGCACAGTTTCCCAAGGATCACTCCAGCAGGTGGTGACAGCTGGAATTAGAATGATTTTCCCTGACCAGTGCATGGTAGGTTTTGGTCTATTTAAATTGGTGGAGGGCCAAGAGAGGCTCTTTCCAGCCCAGTGTGCTGTGCTCTAGGCAGCACAGAAAGCCGGAGTCCTCGGCAGTGACAGCCTGGCGCCCTGCACTCGGCCCCCACAGCCGATGCCTAATTATTCCACAAAGTTATTTCTTGTGGTTAACTTGTTTGTTACACTTTCATTTATTTTGTAATCCCACTAAGGATTCCTGGCCCTGAGAACATTTTACTTCTTAGGCTCTAACAGGCTTGGCACATAGCGCTGAGGAGACATGGAGACATGGAGCCCAGACAGGCAAAGAACTGAAATTTCTGAAAGAGGAAAACATTAAAGCCAGAACGGTCTCCCATCCATCATCCCTGACATCAGGGTGGGTTTTGTGTGCCAAACCCCACAATGCATTCTGGGTCAGAGCACTGAGTGAGCAAGTCCTCACACTTTGCTCATGCGGCCCCTGATCCGTCTGATAAGAGAGATTATTAGCAATCAACAGACTCAAAATCTCACTGCAGCTCAGGATTCAGCTCAGCTGACAGAGCACTGGTCTAGCATTAAGGAAGCCAAGAGTTCCAATTCTACTACCCTAAAAACTGAAAACTTGGTTTTTGGGGTACAGGCCTGTAATCCCAGTACTAGAAAGGCAGAGGCAGGAGGATCAGAAGTTCAAGGCCATCTTTGGCTATATGTACATACAACAAGTTCAATGTCAGGCTGGAACATGTGAGAGTGTCTCAAACTTTATTTTATTTTTTATTATTTTTAAAGTTTTTCTCCTCTCCCTCTCCCTCTCCCTCTCCCTCTCTCCCTCCCTCTCCCCCTCCCTCTCCCTGTCCCTCTCCCTGTCCCTCTCCCCCTCTCCCTCCCTCTCCCTTCCCCTCTCTTTTTCCCTCTCCCCCTTCCCTCTCTCCATCCCTTCCTCCCTCCCTCTCCCCACCCCCCTCTCTCTAATGTTGCCCCCCCACCTGGTTCTCACAGAGTGCCTCCCCCCTCATACCCCCTACCTGTGAGGTTCTCTGTGAGGATGGTGCCCCTTGGGTATTCCTCCAACCTGGCACATCAAGTCTCTGACAGATTACGTGTATCCTCTTCCACTGAGGCCAGACAAAACAGCCCTATTTGGGAACAGATACCCTAGTCAGACTATAGCTTTTGGGAGAGCCTCTGATCCAGTAACTGGGGGACCCACATGTGGACCAAGCTGCATGTGTGCTACATATGTGGGGGGGCACTCACTTTAGCCTATGTATGCTTTTGGTTGGTGGCTCAGTCTCTGAGAGCTCCCAGGGCTCCAGGTTAGTTGACTCTGCTGGTCTACCTATAGGGTTCTGATGCCCTTCAAGGCCTTAGTGTTGGCAAATAGCTCAGCTGGCAGAATGCTTGTATAGAATGCAAAAAGGCATGAGTTGGATCTCTAGCACTGTATGCATTGGGTACCTTACAATTCCAGCACTGGGGAGGTAGAGAGAAAAGGACCAGGAAACCAGTGTCATCCAGTCAAAACCAGCCAGGATACCTGAGATGCTGTGTCAAACAAACAAATGATATATGCACACATGAGTGTTTGAGCATAAAACAAACATCTGAATTTTCAAATGAAAAGTCTACAGTTCATATGGAGTACTGGCTGCCCAAGAAAATAAAACACTATGACAAAAATTGTAGGCTGTGTTCTACAGGTGGGAATTCATGCCTGGCATTGTTGTAAACACAGGCAAAAACCCATGGCTAGAGAGGTCATAGGCCCTGGGGGTGGGTGGGAACTACTGTTGTCATTTTGCTAAATGTCTTATATTTGTGTTCACACATACAAATCTGTACTTCACAGTAGGTAGATAGTGGTTAACACAGACAGGCAGTACTATTCAAAGTGCTGAGACTAAGCAACTGCTAGGTCAGCCATAAATGGCACATCCGTCTTGATCATCTCCTCAGGGCTTGGCGAACACAGCTAAGGAGGTGGTGGAAAGAGTGTAAGAGCTGGAGGATGGGGAGGAGAGCCGTGAAAGCTGCCCTCTGGGTATGACATGGCCATTTCGCATGTGAACTCAGCAGCTGTGGTTACCTGCACAGGATCAAGCCAGTTAAAAATCCTAGCATATACATGGGAGGGACTACTGAGGCCTCACCATTAGAGGGAGGAGCCACTCTTTTTGATGAAGTGATCCCTGATAGATCGCCCACTTGGGGATGACCCCACCCAAATGCGCATGTGAATAGTAGTAACTGGACTTGGTGAATCAAAATAGAGGACATGGAGTTGGGAGGGGATGTAGAGCTATCTTGGAGGAGACTGAAGAGAGGTTGCGGGTCAGTATACATTGTATAAAAATGTCAAAGAATAAATAAGAATGTTATTTTAACTACACACATTATTCTTTGGTATCCATTCCTTTCTTTTCTCATAAGAAAAACTACATCTCCCATGCTTCCTTGCATGTATGGGTGTCACATGATTAAATACTGATTAATAAATTATGAATGGCAGTTATATGTTCAATTTCTGGCTTATGCTCTTAAAAGATGGAAAGTAGCTGATCCCTGACCTCAGTGCTACCTTCTGTCAACTTCCAAGCATTGCTAAGGCTGGAGCTGAATCAGCCATCTGGGCCTAAAAGATAGACAGAATTCAGGCCTACTTTAGGTGGAAGCCACCATGTTAACATGGACTGCCAAATAGATTTTTTTGCAGTAGAAATATGTTGTTTTGTTGAAGACATGATTATTTGAATCTCTTAAGTACAGGAGTCCAGACAGTGTCCTTACAACCTGACAGATGGCTAGAGCAGAAGCCAAGTCCCTGGTTTCCCCAGTCCAAGTCCTTCTCAGCCCCCTTACCTATGGATTTAATGGTTTATTCTCTCCCATATGTTTGCGTGGTCATGGCCAAATCTGGTCCTTACAATAGCTTTGTGACATCCATAGTAGAAAAAGGACTTCTCTGACTGTCACTAAGCAGACAGGAAAGCCAAGATACAAGAGTAGCAGATGAAGGACTACAAAGGCAATAAAGTCTTTCTGTGCTATGTGAGTGTGAGCATCAGAATTCAAGTTCCAGGCCTCATGTAAAAGACCAGGCATGGCACATACGCTTGTAACTCCAGCACTAGAAAGTGGAGACAGGTGGATCCTTTGAGCTCACTAGCCACCAGTCTAGCCTAATTGGCAAGT